CTCGAATCCTACGCCGAAATTGCGCAAAAAATATTTTTGCATACCGGCGTATTCCGTAGAAATAAAAAGATGTCAAAACCCTCATTTTTTTAAATATAAACCACCGGTTGTTGTCATACTTTTTAAAATACTATTATAGAGATATTATACAAATATTTTTATTATATTGCATCTTATTATTGCATTTGTATTATATCGTAAAAAAAAGGATACAATAATACAAAACTTTTATATTTTCCAAACTCTTTGCTATCTTCAAATTGTGTCTCTGAAGCTCTGTATTGTACATACTTCTCACAGTACTTCTAAAGGTAGAAAACGACCGATAGCACTATCGACGGTCATCGAAGCTATCGATAACTCGCCACCTCTACTCAACAATAAGAACTGGAACATCAAGTGATCCGATCTAAGTTAGCAGACCTCTAATTCTGAGTGCGGATCATGTGGCAAAGATCGCAGCCGATACGAATAATGGTGTTGAAAACACACCAGGCAAGCAACACGTGTGCAGCACGTTGCGTCGATACAGGGTTTGTATTCAGGGGATCTACCATCTATTTCTCGAACGAACTGCTGGGTAAACGAATGCAAAATCAGGAAGTTATTGGTAGAAAAAGGGATGCAACGAGCGGGAAACTGGAGTGTATACCGAGAAACCTGGAAAGAGAGAGAGAGAGAGTGAGAGAGAGAGAGAGAAAGAGAAAGAGAAAGAGAGAGAGAGAGAGAGAAAGAGAGAGAGAGAGAGAGAGAAAGAGAGGATGGCGGGGAGATGGAGAGAGTGGAAGAGAGGGAGAGAGAGCAGAGAGGGAGCAGAGAGAGAGGTGAAGATAAGGGCAAGAGAGAGGATATTCAAACACTGATAAGAGACTCAATTATCGAACTATCACAGGGAGGCTCGTTCCGTTTGCATTTCCAATTATTTGCTGGGAAACGGTCTGCCAATACCGGGTACTCTCGATAACGCTGCCCTCTCGCTTCTCGGACCGCCTCGCCGGCTTTCCACAATCTCTTTCCCACTTTCCCGCTGTTCGCAGCCTTCTCGCTCTGTGACAATCCATCTGACTTGCTCGCACCACGAGCCTCTTCCTCTCGCATCCGGCCGCGCCGCGCCGCGTGTCGCTCGCTATTCCCTGAGGCATGTGACTTGCACACACGTCCGTACACATGCACGCGCCTGCACGTACACGTGTACGCACACGAGCGGCGTGCTCTACGTTCAGGGAAAATGGCATATAATTACAGCGAATCAGATTAGCGATTTGTAATTGCACGCGTCAAGAGAGATTAACGGATCGAATTCGTAATTCGCCAGGCGTTGCCTGTCCACGGTGAACTTTTTTTATCGGCAGAGAGGCTTCTGGCTGGCTAAAACTCCGATATGCGTTCGAATGAAAGATACTTCAGCTTTTCGGCGTTTAACCCATTGCGTTATCACGGGTCAAGCTCGCGATGGTAGGTTTCGTATATGATCTAGTCAATTTTTCAATATAATTATTCCCTTATCAAAATTGTTGTTAACCAGTTAGCTGTTTTTGACGGGTTTAGCTGTTTTGACAAAATGTTGATATTTTCATGGCGGGTATACTCGTCAAAAAAAGAAACAGCTAACAGATTAAGAAGGATATGCAGAGTGTCCCAAAAATGTCTCGCAATCCGAAAGTGGCGGGTTCCTCAGGTCATTCGAAGCAACTTTTTCCTTTACAAAAATTTTCTCCGAGGCACCGTTAACGAGTTATTAAAGAAAAACAGTGACCAATGAGAGGCGAGCTCGGCTGGCGCGAGGCGACCGAGCCAATGAGCGGAACTGGGCTTCGCGCGCTGGTTGGCTGGGTCGCCTCGCGTCAGCCGTACTCGATTCTTATTGGTCACTGTTTTTCGTTAATAACTCGTTAACGGTGTCCCGGAGAAAATTTTTGTAAAGGAAGAAATTGCTTCAAATGATCCGAGGAACCCGCCATTTCCGGATTACGAGACATTTTTGGGACACTCTGTATATTTTGGCATTTTTGATTCAGTTATATATTTTATAAAAGTGTTATATTTGATCGAAATATGAAGAAAATTCAGTATATACAGTATAATTACGGTAACTACCGCACTCTTCCAAGAGATTGCAACAGCTAATTGGTCAAAAACGAAGACGTGCTAATTAACGTAGCTGTGAAAAAGATCACAGTGCAAAGGGTGAAACTCATCGACTAACACTAAAAGCCTAATACATGTAGACAAAATTCCAAGTATGTATCCGAAATACTATTTCTATGATTTTTCGTTTTTGAAAAAATTTTTTAAAAATTGTTTCGTTCGCAATAGAAGTTGAAATAATTCTCTTCCTTATTATTGATTTATCTTGTCAATCTGTGTCACCTCTTTCTAATTGTAACACATAATCATTCATTCATAGCCTCGTTTATAAAATGCCAAGGTAAATCAAATAAGCAGATTCTATCGAATAGACATATATTCATGTACATTATTGAAATATCCTAATACTATGCAGTTCATCTGCACTTTGTGAGTCAATATCTAATATCGTGCATTTTAGAATAAATTTATGATTCAAGTAACGTGCATGGATCTATATCGTACATTATGCCTATCATACCTGGTATCGTAAATCTTTGGTATATTTCTAGTTTATTCGTGTATATCCTGCATTTACATTTATTGTGCACCGTGGTTATCGAAGTATTCCGACAGGAAAAATTTGAGATTGCATTTGCATAAAAACATCAACGATAATTACGTGAAATCGATATCAAACTTCGTATCCCGAAAATACATTCTTCGAAATGTATATTTACGTGGCAATATTTTAAATCTCTTCGGATGCAGCAGACGGACGCAGCCGATTACAAAGTGTTCGTTCGTTTTAAATTTACTAGAAATTATGCAGCCGGTTCATGTGATTGAGACTGTAATCGTGTTACATCCCTCGGAGGAGACTAATTAATCCCGAACGAAAGGCTATCAGCAATGACTGAAAATTAGAAAGGTATATTTGTTCGAAATTCACAGATATAAGCTCTGGTATTACAACTATTTTAATGAATAATTACAGACTACTTTTCAAATAGAGGAATAGGTCTCTGGACGCTCACGGATGGTCATAATAGCTATCCACTTTATTTCAATCACGCCAAGCGCATGTCACGAGAGTAGCAGAAGTGCGATGGACAATTATTGTGATCGTCGATGTACCTCGGGGTCTATATAATAAGGTATAATTACATATATAAACAAAATTGCAAACAGTGCGTACAAATAAAGGTGTCTTTAACCCTAGAAAGATAACCATATGACAACGTACGTAAAAGATAACCATACGCTTCAGAGGCGCATGCTTTTCTAAGGCGTCAATTTTATACTAACAATGGATATTTATTTAAGTTAATCTAGTCATTTTAAAGGTTTGGCATTATTGTAAAAATAAAATGCATTTATATTATATTTTTTTATATTTTAAGTAATTTTAAACTTAAATCACTAGACCTCTATGAAAAATTAACAAAAATCAACAGTCTTCGCAGGCGCCTCTGCGACGTAGGTTATCTTTCTCGGGTTAATGAACATCTACTAACATTGTGACATTGCTTTTAACTCGTCAGTAGACTGTGGATGTTATGCATTTCTGACAAAAACAGGTAGGTGCAGTTTAAAGCAGTTGCAAGCTTAAATAATTGCAGGTAACGATTATACAATTTTCAACTTGCTAAAGTAACTAAAAAAAAAAAAAAAAAAAAATAGAAATGCCTAAGTGACTTTAAATAAAGGTCACAATGTAGGGTAGTGAAGATATTATAGAATATAAGGTTTTTTTCGACAGTTGTTTAACTTCTTTTTCAAATGTTTTTTACTTTTGGGGAGATTGATCATTGATGCATAAATAAATAATCTTTCTGTTGATTCTGAATGTATTCGTATAAATATGCTCCTATAAAATCACGCGAAAACAAAAACTGTCAACAATTATTCGTATTATTATTTGAATAATGCTACAACCTCTATATTCGACATAATAAAGAATCATTCGAATAAATGGATAGAATAATTTATGAGGAATAACGAATAATGAATATTCGACTAAAACGAATTCATTCAGACGATTATCTAATATAGATATTAATTCGAAACAATTCAATTAATGTACAACTTTGCTTACCACTGCTACAACAGATTCGTTTGTCTAACTTTTACCTTTTTTTTAAGCAATCAGTGATACCGCTCGATAAAACATCAACCACTAAAATTTAACGTTATTCAACCATGGTCGTCGGGAAACACACTTTCATCATTCAGTAAAGAACAAACTCATAGAGCTTCATTAGTTTCTATCATTAAACAATAATTTCGATAAAATAATATGCAAACTCCTTACGTTTTGTCATCGACGTATCGCTGATACCGCTTGTTAAAAGTTTGATATTTTTGACCAATGCGTCGCAGAGATTTCATAGTATCGATTGAACCGAGTTTACGGTCGTCAACGGGGATCGTGAATTTGACAGTCGGCTCCATTCGACGCACCGTCGAGTATTTCGTCGATCTAGCTGGCCAATGTACAGTTTTGTAGAATTCGTCGTAATGAAAAATGACTTTTTACCCGGGCAAAGTTTTTCGCGTACCGTTCGACCGGATGTAACTTGATCGCAACGAGGAATATCAGAAATTAAACGGAAATCTTCATACATGATATCCGAAATGAAACGTAGGTGGGCCACAGCATACAAGAGACTAGATATTTTTGTTTAAAAGAAATCACGACCGGCTTAAACAAATGAGTCGTTTATTTTGAAAATGGCCTAACTCCGTTTTCCAATTTTTTGCCGGTTACCATGGTTAAATGTACAGCTTCATGTTATGTATCAGTGAAGCACTTCAGGTTGCTTATATTCAGAGCAAATACGATAAATTTTTCACACATAAGTTTTCAGAATTAATTAAATAACTGAGCCGTGTAGTTTGAAAGTGGCCCAACTCCATTTATACTTACATCAAGATATTTACTATTGATAATGTCGAAAAGCAGTGATGAAGGTAATTTCAACTAATTAGTATTTACAAGTTAACCCAATTTTTGGGACAATTGCGTTAGTTGAATAACCTGTACGTTTAATTAATGTAAAACTTAAAATTTAATATTAAATTTTAGAAATTATTTCACCCATGAGGAAAAACAGAACAAGACCATTGATTAGTTCAGATAGTGAAGAAGAAATAGTAACTAATAATTTAAAATTATAGAACAATATTCGTCTTCAGAGGATGAAGATCCGAATAACAATGGAGAAAAAATTGATGCATCATACATCCAAAAAGTGCGAAAGATTAAACGGAATTCAGGAAAAAGATATTGCACTGAAACCGGAAATATATTGACCTATTACGATACATACCACCAGAACATCATGATTTCTTCAAATCACTTTCACACGCACAAAATGTAGACGAATAGTAAATTGTTTTGTAATAAATTTATGTTTGTAATTTTCTATGTTCTGTAATTAAAAAATGTTTTAAATCGCATAAATTATGTTTCCGAAGTGTTTTCAAGATATGTAAAACAAATTCAGTATTGTTTTTTTCAATTTGAAACATCTTAAATTATGTTGAATGGACTTGGGCACCTTCAAATTTTATAACGAATTTGGCTGTTAATTTTGAAAGTGGCCCAACTCCATTCTTGATAAGAAAACGCACGTTATTTACTTAACAATTGCCACTATTTTAACAGGAACTTTAAATTTAACATCCTTAGATACGCTTAAGCGGTATGACTCATTAGTATCCTATACGTATATTTTTAAATTCATTGAAACGCAAAACTTTAAATATCTCTATTTGAAGATAAATGGAGTTAGGCCACTTTCAAAATAAGCGGCTCAAAGATTCGATGTACCAAACCAAGAAACTCTAAAAATACTTCTAATTCTCGTTTCACCGAGTGAAACCACAAATGATATGACGAAGGAAACGTCCTTGAACTGTGTAAACTTGCCATAAATCCTTACAAAACCGTGTTATTAATCAAACAAATAATAGAAACAATTTGGTCCGTCTAGATCGTCGAAATGCCCCACTGTGCGAGGTCGCGGAAAGAGCTTGCCAACGAGAACGATTGGCGTGTATCCATAGTAATCGGTCTCTTTGCGCTTATGACAACCGACGAAATTAATGAGCCGCTCTCGAAACGACGACGGAATAAGGACAGAAGAACGCTCAATTGGCCAACGAAATGTAGATTACCTGAAATGTCAGGGGTGAAAGAATATAGATCGGTTCTCGCGTTAGCACGCGAGTGTCTCATGTCCGTCGGCACGCATTGCTGAGCAGGAGGAAGTTTGCAATCTGCAGAATTTTCTCTGTCCCCGTTACTGATGAAATAAGTGGACAGACCGACCTTTGGCTGAGATAAGTACAGGGGTTCTTGCGTGAACACTCTATACCGCGGCACGCTATGATTAATTAGTTGAACGGACATTGGTGTTCGTCTTAAGTACCTTCTGACTGCGTCTAACAGCTTTCTATTGCTCGTACACTTGCTCCCCATGAATTAGCGAGTCTGGGATTAGTAATAATTAACCCTCGTAAGAAACATGACCAGACACCCACGTGCGAAACGAACGCTGGATTGCATTTGCTTTACGATAAAAAGTCTCTCCCGCGTGATGCGAAACGAATTGTTACGTGAATATGACACTTCAATTGTTTCGTTCTATTCTGTCTCGACACTACTCTTTTTTACCGGAAACCTATTAACCCCTCGCGCTGTAACATCGTGTCAGACTCCCTTGAAAGAATCCAACTCAAAAGAATCTATTACGTTCAGGCATTACTCATCTTTTTTTAAAAATCGAAATAGGATTCAATTCGTCTGTTATCCATCGACAGAGTCGATCACACAGCGTTCGAAGACTGTTATTGTACAGATTTAGCCGATTGAAACAGTTCTTAAGAACTTTCTTTTGGATAAGAAGCACCTAAAAGTCGGACTATGTCAGTCTAAGTTAAGGCCCTTGCCTAAGTATCCAGTAACGAATAGATGCTGTAATAAACGAGATTTTAGAACGAATGTAGTTCGTTACAGGATACCATACTGTATTCATTTATTGCGGTCTGGGATTATACGAACATGCTAACAAAACTAATTCAGTAAAGCTCGTTGTCAATTGCGATAACATCATTCAGGGGATGAAATAACGATCACTTCAACGAGCATGTATCCTATGTGTACATTCACCGTACAGATCACTGCATTTTCTAACATAAGCATACATACCTATTCACGTTTTACAATAAGAAAAACAGTATTTGAAATTATCCCTCCTTAACACGTTCCGTGCCACGTGTACCATCGATGGTACACGCTTGCATGTTTACTTAGTGAACTGAACAAATTGTTTACAAGAAATTTAGAACCGAAGAATCAATTTCCACCGCAAGAATGGGCGTTGATAAGTTTTTGTTACGTTGTTATGTGTACGAGAATTAATAATTGCACGTAATACATCAAGTTTTAGTAAAATATCAAAGTGTGAAGATTCGAGTGAAAAAAGCTCGGCACGGAACGTGTTAACCTGATCCTTAACCGGAAGCAACATTAAACAAATCATCGTTAATATACGTAAATGTAATCAGTTCAAAATTCATGCGACCCTCTGTTAGCTCATCAAGTTTGCAACGTTTCGACACAAATGTACTTGCACTTACTAATTTGGAAATGTGCAATATTTACTGAAGCGATAACTGACAGTAATTGACAGTCCGATTAAGGGTTAATCTCGCTTATCCGCCGACCCTCGATCTATCCGAGCGGTTCGCCTCCCGTTTAGGCTGGTCGATCGGGATCCAGTTTTATCAAACGGCTCGAAAAACCCTGAAGAAGACATAAACGAAACTCGGAAGTTTAGACGAAGGGTGGAAGGGGGACGAAGGGGGGAGAAAACGTTCTCGCTTTCGCGGGAGTAAAAATCATGCGGAATTACGCGATCGGTGCGCCGGACGATTTGTCGGACGCAGTTAAGAGTAGGAGCGAACAGAGCGAGAATGGGAAGAATGAGTCGAGCGGGGAGCGAGATCCCAGGGGTGTACGATGATCGATTGAAACGTTAACGAAATAAAGCGGCGCGTCAGTCGCCGCGGAATCCGTCGTCCTCTTTCTGCCCTCTTGCGCGTCCGCTCGGCGGTGATTAAAATTCGCGGAGGGGAAAAGCTAGCGGCCGGTGTGGAAGTGCAGGCGGTTTGCGGACGCGGACGCGGACGCCGATCCCGACGCCGACGCCGACGCCGACGCCGACGGAACGCTGGTCGAGAAGTCAGTGTCGTCGCGTCGCGTCGCGTCGCGGCCGCTCGACGCCGCTCCATGTCGCGCTGCGTCCTGCGTCGCGTCCCTCCACGGGGCCACGGGACATTAATCATGCGAACTGACGGGGAGTGACATCAAACGCGAATTTACAGCAGCGCGGGGGTAGAGAACCGTTCGATTTCGTGGGGAATGGACTGGGCAAAATTTGTCAACCGATTCTTCCTGCCTTCGCTCCACAACAAGAGATTCGTTATTGCGTATTAAATCAAGGCGATAAGGCGGCCCACTTTGCAAATAGTTTCTCCTACACAGTTGAACCTCCATTATATTGTTACGAATTACGACACTTCTCCCGCGTCGCGGCATTTTATTTACAAAAGAGAACACGAACTATAATACAACTGGATTAGATTATGTTAGAGATCTTTGAATTAGATGGTGTTGATCGCTCGACGGTCCGATCCCGACTCTTCGATTGTCCGTTGATCAAACACTTCCGTGGCAAACCCTCTCTTCTATTTTTCTTTATGGAGTTGCTCACAACAGGGCAATTTCACATTACAGCGACTTGATTTGGACAAGTCGCCGTAACAATATGAACACCCGCCACGTGAACCTTCTGTTATTTTAACGTTCTTTTATGTAGGGTGTTCCCGAATAACATGTACAAGCGGCCAGCAGGCGATTCCTTATGAAAAATAAGAAACATAAAAACAATATGGTTTTTCGATTTCGGCTTAGTTTTCGAAATCGTCGAGTTTGAAAAATTGCTCCCTGTTATACGGCTAAAATACGATTCGCCCACCGATGTATTGTAAACGATGTTTACAGGACATTTATAAGTTACTGCGTTGAGGAAGGAATGGAAAATGGATTTCGTTAACTTTATCATATACTGTTAATCGCAGAATTGCTGAAATTGATTGCCTCGCTCTCGTATGCAAAGTTATGCCCGTCTAATTACAGATGCATGAGCTCTAGGTAACGTGTTTTCAATTCTCGAACTTTATTTATTTTCTAAAAATTCCACTTGAAATACGAAAATTAGAAGAAGTGTGCGGTTTATACGTATTTGATTTTTTTCAAGCAAATGGGATGTATAATTGACCAAAGTTTATACTTCTCTATGCAGGCTAAGAATGCGTGCAATCGAATCTGTGTCAAAAATGAAAGTGCATTTTGAAAATTCATTAAAAAATAAAACGGACCTTTATACAAAATAAGAACTTCGTTCAGCAATTGTATGAAACAAGAGTTCAATAAAAATGTATTTGTGATAGCTTTAATCAACTGAAAATAACGAAACAATATTCTTCAATTCCTCCAATGTCTTCACTGTTCTATATTTTTCTTGTCAACTTTTGCAAGAAATGTATAAAATCCGCAGTCTACGTATCAGTTACCGAGATCTACGAGATTAATCATTTTGTCATTCCGAGTAACAGCAAAATTAAAGACAGGTATTTCAGTCATTGTACGGTACACTAACCCCTAAAAACATCTCCAAACGATGCAAGCATTTAATCCAGTTTTAAAAAAAGTTATACCGTACGAAAGGTATACAAATACTTTTTGGAGCCGCTATATGCACCGCGACCGGTATTCAAATCTGGTTAAAAGTTAGCCATTTGATGGTCGGCGTGCGTGCGACCTCGCATTCTTGAATCCCCTATTTTTTCCGTGCTTTATCAACGTTAAATTGCACACTGCGAAAACAAAGTTAATATCTGGCCTAATACGCGGCGGCGAAGAATAAAGCGCGCAACGCTCGACCGACTTTTGTATCGCGCCTCGATCTCTCGACCCTCCTTCACCACCGACAAAGCCCGATCGCGGGACTTCGAGAGCCGAGTTTTCACGCGCGACCGCGCGGTTACGAGCACGCGATCCTAGAGAGGGAGGGCACACGTTCCCCGGAATCCGCGCGGGATCC